TGGAAGATTGAATCGTAACTAGTGTCGATCCTACCCTACTTCTACATTGCCATCCTTATGAAAAAATCTCGCTTCTAACTGCATTAAATTATTTTTCATTATGTCATCATTTTTAATGGATAGTATGATATATGCTACTTTTCCCTATTTTATCTCTTAACATATCGATAACACTTCTTAGTAAGCTTCTGCAAGGATAGTTTTAACCTTATCTCGTTATATACAACAAAAGCCTTTAGGTGTTCACACAAATAACACTCCTCTTTTTATTCAAGAAACGTTATTAATATAAGTTCTTTTTATAGAATTAATCATGAATTGATTTAAGTAAGACTGTCTTTGAAAAATAGGCGACACTGGACAACTCACAATTGATTAATCACTGGGTGGTGATCAATCTCATGCATGTCAGGTCCTTCTTAGTGCTGATCGAATCCGCCAGGGAGCATCAGTTCCCTCAAGATTATAGGTACACCTTGCTGACGAGTGCCAAGTAGCACGAAACCCTGGTCCAGGGTTTCCTGTTGACCACCTCCAACCATCATCTTACACTAGACAACTATTTGGCACTATGATATTACTCTTTATAAGCTAGATATATACACCACCGGATCACGGATCAGTGATCCAAAAATCAAGCTTTTGTGTGGGACATAATGTTTTAGGTTCCATTCTTGGTGGTAAAGTCTTGGATACTCACTGCTTAGGAATAAAACAGCAGACTAGTACTTTCTGGTCTTCAATGATGATTTTTATGAAGTCCTCTTTTATTCAATGAATCAATAGTTTAAAAAACGTATAAAAATCTTTCGAACAATACGTGTCAAGTAAGTTAAAAACAACATTACCCATAATATGCTTGATATTTGAATACAAAAACATCAGTATTACTCAAATAGTTTTGGTTTAAGTTGATCCACCTATTGAATACTCAGATATCATTTGATTCAGTTTTTGGCTAAACCTCTTAAAAAATTGTTTCAAATATCCGGTTACAAATTCAACTTCCAATGGTTGTTTGTTTTATCCAGGTAATCATTATCATTATTGATAAAAACCTACTTTAGTATATATCAGCGAACAATATTGTTTTCGATTAGATCCTCATCAAGTTTTACTCTAATATACAGTAATATTTAGATGCATATACAAAATTATGAAACGAATCATGGCAGTTTATGTGTCAGTGATAACAGTGGAATAGATAACATAACTAAAAATAATAATAAGTGAAAAGTACAAATTGATAGTGTAATGATGAATGTATTAGTTGTGATAAGAATAATATAAGTCATTGACCTATTATGTAACATTGATTCAAGCCTTATATTATTCTTATCACAGCTAGCACACCTATCATCAGACTACCAATTTGTACTTTTCACTCATTATGTTTAGTTATGTAATCTACTCCACTGTAATCACTGACTCACAAACTGCCTTTATTGGTTTAATAATTTCGTATATGCATCTAAATATTACTGTATATTAGAGTAAATATTATAGTTGAAAGCGTGAGTCAGGTGAAGTTAGACATTAACACCGTTGGATGCCAGCTCAGTGGTCTATCGGTTAAGGGCTTCGGCTCGAGACTGGTAGGTCTTGGGTTCAAATTTCGTGAGAGCGGGTTCGTGGATGCGCACTGACGAGGAGTCCCATAATAGGACGAAACGGCCGTCCAGTGTTTCCAGGTTTTCCATAGTGGTCTAGCTTCAATTGACTCACGCTTTCAACTATAATAAATACTAAATCTCCACAAAACCCCTTCAATATTAGAGTAAAGCCTGATGAGAATCTAATCGAAAACAATATTGTACGCTTACATATGTTGTTATAAATCACAATATGGGAATTTTTCAAACTACTTTAGTATGTTAATTTAACTTTGTTTTAATAAAGTGAGTCGATGACTTTTTAGTTAATAAAAATGATAAAGGTGATATATCTATCTACGTAAAACACTAAAATAAATGGATCTCCGTAATCCATTTGAAAATATTGTAAATTTCTTACTGTAGATGATTCTTTTTTTTGTTATTCATGAACGATATTTCAAGTATATAGTACCAATGTGGTGTGAGCTACTTATATACACATAAGTAGTATATAGTGATGGTCTGACATAGAATGTATTTTGGCAGAAGGTCGATAAGGAAAGAACAAGAATGAAGCACAATCGGTATGAAAATGCATGAACAATGAAATCAGAGAACTTAAACTGATATTTGCAGATGGAACAGTTAAGATTGAAACGATTGATTGATAGTTTACAAATTCACTGTTTACTATATGATTATCAGATTTTAGTGAGATAGTCTGTAATTTGTGCTTAAATACATTCGATTGTGCCCACCAGTGTTCTTGTTCACTAAACCAATGTTAAGCTGTGGTATTCTATAGTGTATATATTAAGACATAAGTAAGAAGGGAAATATGACTTTCTTCACAAAAACCATTGAATTTTAGGTATATTTATTATGCAGTAATCGGTTAAATTTCATACTTATTTATTTCAAGACAGTTAAAATTAATTAATCGAAGGTGCTGGGTTTCAATCCTCCAAGCGGAATCGTGAATACTCACTGCTAAAGAGTTTCATACCAGGATGAAATTGCCGTTCAGTACTTCCAGGTTTTCAATTATGATCTAACATCATTCCATTCATAATCTCAAACAAAAATAATTTATCGAATTTTATTTATGGATAGGTAAGTATAATCACAAATACTGATCAATTATTTTTGTATCGTCATTCTAATTTATGACTTTCAAAGTAACTTATTTGTTTAGAGATAACATAAGTCCCAGTTCCTTTTCTTAGTTATCCGGTTAGCTGTTTTCAGTCAATCCATGGTCAAAAATATTAACTTTAAAAAGCAAGTTCAACAAATTCCTCTTCTCAGTATAGGAGTTGTGAAGATTGTTAAGTTTCAGTTGATATCATGAATGAATGAGTGAATGTTAGACCACTATTAAAAACCTGAAACCATTGTAATTCATCTACGTCATAGTCTGTCTGTCTGTCTGACATTCAATTAGTATTTAATTGAGAAATCAATTATATTATGTAATAAAAAGAGATTTCATTAGGGGATCATAACTTATCGTAAACATTTGTGGATGAACATGTATGTCACTATTCTATATATATATATATATCTTATCTGGATCGTTTGGTCGTGGAGTTTTCACCGTCCTTCTGAACGACATCATCAGCATAAACTTCGGGTAGAAGTGAAGTGTTTGAATTTCTCCACATGTGGTTCACAGCTTGTTCTATGCACCTTGATGTTGATTCAAACGCTTCACTTCTACCCGACGTTTGTGCTGATGATGTCGTTCAGAAGGACGATGAAAGCTCCACGACCAAACCATCCAGCTCAGAGAACAAAAAGTTCATCAAAATCATCCACCTGAGCTACAAATCTTTACCATGTTATAAGCTTGATGCCCATAAAAGTCTCCCATATTTTGTGTCGATAATAATTTACTTTCATTGAACGTTTAGTATCCAATAGATAGTTTACAACAATATACATACGATCATGTAAGTAGCGATTAAAAATATATCTCTAAGGTATTGTTACTTCTTGTTGAAAAAAAAGTGAACAAAAGGAAAGCCGAATAATCATCATAATCACCCTGTTTACGTTAACAAACTTTTATTATTTCGTTCGTAATAAATAATTCTCTAAATGTAACTTGATTTCGGTGAAGTTTTGTTTCCTGAGCTGAATGGTTTGATCGTGGAGTGAATAACGAGGAAAGCTTCACGACCAAACCATCCATCTAAGCGAACAAAAATTCCACCAAAATCAACATATTTAAATTAAGATCCGACTATAGCAGTTTTCTAGAAAAATGGTCAATTTTCAATGGGTTTATCTCATAATGAGTTTATGTTATTTTTAACAAAATATACAGTTCAGATTATAACATATATAGAATATAGTTTAAGTTAGCATTAAAACTTCTTCACATAATCAGAAGAGGTTTTGTGGAGATTTCAGTATTTTCATAGTTGAAATCATGAGTCAATTGAAGCTAGACCACCATGGAAAACTTGAAAGAACTAGACGGCCGTTTTGTTCTATTATGAGACTCCTCAGCAGTGCGCATCCACATAAACTCAAATGAGGTTAATTCAATTTTATATTCAAGTATTTAAATAATAAATTCTTATAAATTGAAACTAATAAATATAACAGATTACCGAAATAATTAGAAAAGCAGTATTATCCTTAATTCCTAAAAACATTTAAAATAAAACTAATTTATAGTAATGATATATTTAGACTTTATTTGACTGATATTAGTTACATTTGAGATGATGGAGAAGATTTGCAGCTCAGTTCGGTGATTTTGACATAGGTTTGTTTTCAGAGCTGGATGGTTTAGTCGTGGAGCTTTTATCGTCCTTCTGAACGACATCATCAACACAAACTTTGGAGAGACACTTCACTTCTACCCATAGTTTGTGCTGAGAATGTCGTTCAGAAGGACAATGAAAGCTGCATGACCAAACCATCCAGCTCAGAGAACAAACCTACATCAAAAATTAGTTACATTTAATAGAAAATTATTTTAATAGTTGAATTCATGATTTAATAAAAGCTAAATCATCATTGAAAACCTAGAATCATAGTACGGCCGTTTCGTTCTAGTATAGGACTCATAAGCGGTGAGCAACCAAGATCCCGCTCTTGGGATTCAAATCCGGCACCGTCACTCTTGATCGTGAACGCTTACCCTCTACACCACTGGGCCGGCATCCAACTGTGAGACTGAAAGTTCAGGGTTTGAATCCCGTGAGCGGGATCTTGGATGCTGAGGAGTTCTATACTAAAACGTAACGGTCTTCCAGTGCTTCCAGGTTTTCCATGGTAGTCTAGCTTACATCGCCTTTAATGATAGCTTATGATCCGAATATAGCGTTCAATCACTAAGACTTATCATTTATTGAACAATTAAAAACAGATATAAATTATGAATTTACTTACTTGTTCCATAACAGTTAAACGATAACTATCAGCTAAATATGATGGTTGTATTTGAAATTCTACACTAAAATTTAATAACATTCTATAAATTGGTGATAAAGCAGTTTTTGATGTATTCCATAATAATTCACCTTTTGGTAAACGATGTACTATAATACCAAATTTTAAATCAGGTTGTATTTCTATTGCTTTCATACGTAATTGATCCATAACAGTTTTACTAAACCATGGTAATGGTATTGGTTGTGTTATAATATTTAAACGTTTCATTGCATCTAAAAATAAACGTTTTGATTCTTGTGATTGTGGACATATTGTTATACCAGGTACTTGATCATAAACAGTATGACGACCAGAATAATCTAATTGAAATACTGTTTGATGTTTTAAATATTGCATAACAACAAGACTAATACAAACACATAATCCAATAAACATAATTGCTGTAACAATAGCCCATAATATACGTAATGAACGTGATGGTGCATTAGCAATTTTGGCTAATGGTACTAAGGAACTTTGTGAAAATACACTAGAGAAACATTTCATGATGAGATTGTCTGTTTGTTTTACTTTTATACACATAAGATGATTGTGAAGGAGTTACTATACATCATTTTTCGTTAAAGTAAACTATCTCTTTGAATGTAGAATCATTTGTTTAAAACCATCAAATTTTAATGGGATTCATTCAATGAATGAATGAATGAATGAATCACAAATGGAATGGGTAATAATCATTGAATTTCTATTCATTATTTAAATTAACCAATCAAAATATTGATATATGTGGGTGTTTTTATTCCCAATACAAATAATGTAGCTTTACTAATCATTTCAAATGTTAATTACAGGTATTAAAAAAAAATGTTGATCCAGGTTTTCATTGGTGATCTAGGTTCAATTAACTAATTGATTTCAACTATGAAATCTCCACAAGACCCTTTTCTGAAAAGAATATATGTATAGATGTAGTGATTTAGTTTCATGAATCAATCAACTTGATAACTGTTATCATGTAAATCTCAATGGTGTTTGAAATAAGAAGACAATAAGAAGTGGCAAATACAGTTTATAAGTGGACAGCACAGATTCATAAGGCTACAAGCACGTTGAGCAAATTTGAAGCAGAGAGGTCAATAAGTGTATGTGTGCGAGCAAATACAGAGGCGAGTTTATAGTCAAATTGACTAAACGGTCAGTTAAGAAAGGCAAGGGTTAATAATAGGATTCGAGTACATATACACATAAGGAAGAGAATGATTTATCGAGCAATATTTAAGCTATCAACATTTAAGCTAAAAATAGATGTGCATGCGATGTTATGTAATCGAGAGTACACGTTTATACAGAAAAGATAATGACCATAATAGTACAAATTAAGATACGAATTGTTATTATTCGAATAACATTGTCTGTTAAGTAAGTTAATAAAAGGGTTTTAAAAAATTTAACCATAATCAAAATTGGTTGAAGGAGAGTTACTTATTTACTTATGACTATTATCTCTCGTTGAGGAGTATAGGCCACCCATCAGTATTCTCCATTCAACCCTGTCCTGGGTAATTCTTTCTAGTTCTTTCCAGTTAACATTCATCCTTTTCATATCTGCTTCAGTCTCTTAGCCTTCCTCTTTTCCACTTCCCTTCCGGACTCCAAGTTAGGGCTAACCTCGTGATGCAGTTTTATGATTTCCCCAACGTATGTCCGATCCACTTCGAGCATCTTTTCCTAATTTCCTCTCCAGTTGGAAGCTGGTTTGTTCTCTGCCGTAAAACGCTGTTGCAGATAGTATCCGACTAGTGAATGTTGTGATATGCATAAAGACTTCTTAAGAAAAATATGTTTGATATTATTTATTTCTCGTGCATACATTTCCCTAGATAATATTTAGAAATAGGTTTCGTCACCCTCAATTCCTTGAGAATTTCATATTGTTCTAAATGTATGATACTGTTATTTTAAATTGTTGTGAAGATTGTAAAATTTCCTACTTACATCACGTATTGATCTTAGTTAAACAACTATCGAAAACTAGCAAGCACCAGGATAGATGTTTCATTACAGTTTGGGGATCTTAAGTATTGAGCATCCATGGTCACAGCGTCACAAGAACCCGAGGCCTTTATGAGTAGATGAAAATACCTAAAATTTAGGCCATATTGTACTGCGTTATAGAGTGAAATTTGATTATCTGATTAATAAATTTTGGATTGTTAGAATAAAATAAAGGAATCTAGATTGATAGAACGTACTGCTTTACCATCTACATAAGTCATTCTAATCTTTTTCAAGTTATTTCAAAATAATTGAAGAGACACTTGTATATGGTAAATTTTTAATTGAGCTTTAGTTAATTAGCTTATCACTATCAACTTTGAATTCATTGATGATACTAATTTATAAACAAGTTATCAATATTAAACGTCTATTAATGTCTAATGATCATTCAGTAGACATTCTAGAAGTTTCAATCACCGGCTTAGGTTTTTTTATTAATAATAAATTTAACAGGGTAGTATACCTTCTTGATAGCTCTTTTTGATCTCTATCTGAAAAAATTACACTATTCGATTCACTTTGAAACAGACTTAAATAGAGGTTTTCATGTTATTTAAATTTTACACCGATTTATAAGTTTTAGAAGGTAGTCATTTGATATCAATGTTCTAGTCAAAAGTTTCGTGTTTTAATTAAATGTATTGGAAGCACATATTCTGGAATATATTACACTCAATTCCATCTTCTCATTTATCTATTAAAATACTTATAACAACTTATGATTACTTTGTGAATATATATATATATATATATATATATATATATATATATATATATATTTCAATGGCGGTCTAACATTGATCTGTTCAGGATATCAATTTAAACTCAATAATCTCCACAACTCCATACTGATAATTATCATGTGTTCACCAGTGACTGGCTTCAAGATGAATTTCCTTAGGTTCTAGTGAGATGGCATGACGAGTGCAGTTCAACCGTGTCTTTTGTAAGACAGTTACTCACTGAAGACAATGGTGTACGGTGGTGCAATTTCGTGGACATCAACACTGTTAGATGCCGGTTTAGTGGTCTAGAGGTTAGGCGTTCGCGCATCAAACCGATCGTCCTGGTTTCGAGTCCCATGTGCTTGATTGTGAATGCATACTTCTCAGGAGTTCCATACCAGAACAAAGCACTCATCCAATTATTCCAGGTTTTCAATGGTGATCTAACATTGATCCATCCAAGATATTAATTTAAACTCAACAATCTCCAAAAGTCTATATATATATGAGTCTAATCCTACCTACTACCAAAATGATAAATCATAAAAATGATATCCAAGTTTTTAATTAAGTTACTTCATAAAACTAATTACACTTGAATGTTGCAAGATTCATGGAAAGTCTCGTGTTTTTTTGTCTACTCCACTATGATTGGTTAGTTAGTTTATGGAACATTCTAGAAAGTCTACAATTAATCATTTTCAGTTAACTAAACACGAAACAAAATTATGAAACGTACCAAGTCGTTTTTTTTCAAAATAAAAAGTAACTCTACTGATAAAATGAAAAAAAAATTTACAATAATTAATTTACTAAAATTCCAATGCTAGCCACTATCCATCTCTGCTTACCATGCTTGTGAATTAAGGCTATATCGAGGTAATACGCACAGTATGCATGTATGCCAATTAGAGACTGACCAGTTGCAGTCCTAAAAACATCAATGGGAAGATTCAAACAAACAATACTAAGTGAATTTAAACTTCACGCCATTGCAGAAGCAAGTGGCTATAAGGACTCAGTTGCCGAGTGGATAACGTGATGGCGTTTGAAGCGAACGTTACTGGGTTGCAGTCCCACAGTGAACATCAACTCTGAGATGCAGGTACATCCAGCTTGGAGTGGCAAATAGGACGAAACGCACGTCCTGGATTCCACTGCTAGCCACTATCCATCTTTGCTTACCATGCTTGTGAATTTAAGCAATATCGAGGCAATACGCACAGTATGCATATATGCCAATTAGAGACTGACCAGTTGCAGTCCTAAAAACATCAATGGGAAGATTCAAACAAACAACAGTATGTGAATTTCAAAAATTTTTTAATTATTTATATATGTAAATAAATCGAGGTATGTATTCACTCTTATAGACATTTTGTAATTATGTAACACTACTGTGAAGTGGGTTACTTATATCTACATAAGTAGTATATAATGATGGTCCGGTTTTGTATGTATTTCAGTAGAGATGATCGATAACGAAAGGATGGAAACGGAACGCAATAGGTACGAAAATGTATGAACAATGAAATCAGAGAACTGATATTTACAGAAGGATTAGTTAAGATTAAAACAATTGATTGATAGTTTGCAAACTAAATGTTTACTGTATGGTTGTCAGATTTTACCGAGATAGTCTGTAATTTTCATGTCAAATACATTCTATTGTCTCCACTGGTATTCTCATCCACTACTCTAGGACAAAATGATCGTTTAATGCTGTCAGATTTTCGGTGGGTAACTAATTTTCACTACTTCATCATTTCAACAAAAATATAATTAATTAACATTTTTATCACTCAAAATAAAATATAGATTTGCGTCTGTATACTTTAGAGGATGAGTTCAGTGAAAGCGGACTCTTAATTGAATTAATCTATTCTTATTAACTGTTTACTGTATGGTTGTAATTTTGTGTTGTAATTTTGTGCCTCATTACATTTGATTGTCCCTTGCTCATGTTCTTGTTCACTATGCTGCTATTTCACATTGTAGACATCGAAAAGTTCTTCTTTTAATTTTGAGACTTTTCCAATAAAATTAGCCAAAAATCTATTTTGAAGTAAAAAGGAAAAAAAAAGAAGAAAAAATAGTAATAATCTACTTAACGCTGAATAATAAGTTGTTTATAGAAGGGGTTTTGTGGAGATTTAGTATTTATCATAGGTTTTCCATGGTGGTCTAGCTTCAATTGAATCATGATCTCAACTATTAAAATTATTATAATATTCACAAAACAACTTCTGACATTATTCAACATATGCTCATTAGAGACTGGCTTCAACAGGTATTTCATGGAGTTCTAGTGAGAAGCAGTAACCAGTGGAGTTCAACCAGGTTTGTTTGGAGATAGTAAGTAACTCACTGAAGACAATGATGGATGTGTCGCTCAATGTCGTGGATCAGTTAATGTTAGAGATTAACACATTTGGATACCGGCTCAGTGGTCTAGAGGTTAGGCTCATGCGAGCAATACTGATAGGTTCCAGGCTCGAATCTCGCGAGGCGGCATGATGGATGTGCACTTCTGAGGAGTCCCACTAGGACGAATCGGCCTTACAGTGCCTCCAGGTTTTTCATGGTGACCTAGCTTCAATTGACTTATCATCTCAACTATTAAAATTACTATAATATCCCCCAAAACACCTGATATTAATAAAAAAAACTTAGAATTATGACGTAATGTACGGTGGTGATAATATAGTGGTAAAAGTAAAATCTGAGCGTTTCTAAATGTCTTGAGTATTGTTATTAAAAATTAAGTCATTAAGGTTAAATGAGTGTTTTTTTCCTGTTTTCTAGTCTGTAACAGTTAGTCAATTGATGCTGATGTTACATGAAAATACTCAAGATAACAAACCCTTCAATTTCACTTGATATCATTTATTTATAGAAAGAGAACTGGTGAAAATTCAAAAGGGATCTGTCA